TGTCAGGTGCATGTGCATGTGTCAGGTACATGTGTGTGTCAGGTGCACGTGTGTCAGGTTCATGTGTGTCAGGTGCGTGTGTGTCAGGTGCGTGTGTGTGTCAGTGCATGTGTCATGTGGTCAGGTGCATTGTCAGGTGCATGTGTGCATGTGGTGCGTGTGTGTGTCATGTGCATGTGTCAGGTGCATGTGTCAGGTGCATGTGTGTCAGATGCCTGTGTGTTGTCAGGTGCGTGTGTCAGGTGTGTGTCAGGTGCGTGTGTGTGCGTGTGTCAGTGTGTCAGGTGCGTGTGTGTGCAGATGTGCGCATGTGTCAGGTGTGTGTGCGTCATGTGTGCAGTGTCAGTGGTGTCAGTGTGTGCTGTGTGTGTCAGGTGCAGTGTGGTGTGCAGGTGCACGTGTGTGTCAGGTGCGTGTCAGTGTGTGCATGTGTGTGTGTTGTGTGTGTCAGGTGCAGTGTGTCAGGTGTCATGTGTCAGGTGCGTGTGTGTCAGGTGCGTGTGTGTGTCAGGTGCATGTGCATGTGTCATGTGTCAGTGTCGTGTGTCAGGTCGTGTTGGGTGTGTGTCAGGTGTCTGTGGTGTCAGGCGTGTGGTGTCAGTGTGTGCATGTGTGTCAGGTGCTGTGTGTGTCATGTGTCATGTGTGTCAGGTGCTGTGTGCGTGTGTCAATGTGCGTGTCAGCAGTGTGTCCTTGTGTGTGTCAGTGTGTGCATGTGTGTCAGTCGTGTCAGGTGCATGTGTGTCAGGTGTCAGGTGCGGTGTCAGTGTGTCATGTGTCTGTCATGCGTGTGTCATGTGTCAGCATGTGCGTGTGTCAGGTGCGTGTGTCAGGTGCATGGTGTGTCAGGTGCCTGTGTGTGCAGTGTGTCAGGTGCGTGTGTGCATTGTGTGTGTCAGGTGTGTGTGTGTCAGGTGCGTGTGTCATGGTGCGTGTGTCAGGTGGGCATTGTCAGGTGTGTCAGGTGCAGTGTGTCGGTGTTCAGGTGCGTGTGTCAGGTGCGTGTGTCAGGTGCATGTGCATGTGTCAGGTGTGTGTCAGTGTGTGGTGTGTGTGTGCATGTGTCAGGTGTGTCGTGTCGTGTGTGTCAGGTGCGTGTGTCAAGTGCGTGGTGCGTCAGGTGCATGTGCATGTGTCAGGTGTGTGTGTCAGGTGCGTGTGTCAGGTGCATGTGTCAGGTGCATGTGCATGTGTCAGGTGCGTGTGTCAGGTGCATGTGTCAAGTGCATGTGCATGTGTCAGGTGCGTGTGTCAGGTGCGTGCGTCAGGTGCATGTGCATGTGTCAGGTGCGTGTGTCAGGTGCATGTATGTGTGGTGTGTCAGCGTGTGTCGGTGCGGTGCAGGTGCAGGTGCATGTGTCAGGTGCGTGTGTGTCAGATGCCTGTGTGTGTCAGGTGCGTGTGTCAAGTGCGTGTGTCAGGTGCATGTGCATGTGTCAGGTGCGTGTGTCAGGTGCGTGCGTCAGGTGCATGTGCATGTGTCAGGTGCGTGTGTCAGGTGCGTGCGTCAGGTGCATGTGCATGTGTCAGGTGCGTGTGCATGTGTGCGTCAGGTGCGCACCTGGCCTCTCCGGTCTGCGTCTCCATGTGGTTGACCCAGCTCTTGTAGATGTCGACAGGGTCAGTTTTGATGTTGAGGGTTTTGTCGTCGATCGTTTCCTTGACGACGGGAGCCAGGATCTGCCTCAGGGCGTTTTGACCTCGAGCTCCGCGGTGGAAACTCACCACCATCTTGATCACCGTGGGGTTTCCCGTCACCACCTCCTTCAGCTGGTCCACCTTCGACCTGAGGGGACACACACCGAGTCAGAGGGACACACACCGAGTCAGAGGGACACACACCGGGTCAGAGGGACACACACCGGGTCAGAGGGACACACACCGGGTCAGAGGGACAGGGACAGAGACCGAGACCCAGGCCCAGACCCAGACCGAGACCGGGTCAGAGGGACAGAGACCCAGACCCAGACCGGGTCAGAGGGACCGAGACCGAGACCGGGACCACGACCAGGACCAGGACCGGGTCACAGGTCAGGGACCGAGACCTAGACCGAGACCAGTACCGGGACCAAGACCGGAACCAAGACCAGGACCAAGACCAGGTCAGAGGTCAGGGACCGGGACCAAGACCAGGACCAAGACCGGGTCAGAGGTCAGGGACCGGGACCGGGACCAAGACCAGGACACAACCGGGTTAGGACCGGGACCGAGACCGGGACCAAGGCCGGGACCAAGACCAGGACCAAGACCAGGACCAAGACCGGGTCAGAGGTCAGGGACTGGGACCAAGACCAGGACCAAGACCAGGACACAACTGGGTCAGGACCGGGACCGAGACCGGGACTGAGACCGGGACCGAGACCAGGACCAAGACCGAGACCAGGACCGGGACCGGGAACAGGATTGTTTCTACTTGTATGTGTTGTATATTGTGTGTGATGTGAGTTTGTTGAACAGTCGCAGCAGCTGATTGGACGTGTAGTTGTTGTGTTGTGTTTGT